TTTTCTTTGTTACCAATAAAGGAACAAACAACTGTTTGCAATCAGTGCTCTGATCTAATCATTTCATATCCTACTTTCTTCAGAGAGTTGCAAGTGGTATTGCATCTATAGGAGGTTGTGGGAAGAAAGAAATGCTTGATTCTCAAGCTAATGTGAGCAGCTAGCCTTAGCTGACTCCTGTGAGGCTTGTGTTTTTTTATTTCCTTTTTTGTTTGTAGCCACTGGCCAGTTCTTGTTCTTAAATAAAGTGTGCCAAGAAAAATAAATTTCCCATTTTCAAAAGAAATTCTCTTCTGAAGTATAGCTTCTTGGTACATTCTTAGAGAAGGTGCCACTGGGATCATTCTCAGATTTTCCTCCCGCAACATCCCTAACATCGCCATCCCCCGTGACACTTACATTTGATCTTGGCAGTTTTGATCATTCATCCATGTGATCTGGTAATGATAGGCTTCTCATTGTGTCTTTGGAAAAGTTAAGTGGGAATATAAGGGAAAGCTGAAGCTTTCTGCTTCATCTCCACATCAGCTTTAGTTCGTATAGCCAGTGGTATCAAATATATGCTGTAACTCATTTGTAGTGTTTAGAGCTCTCTTTAATCTTACAGATAGTATTCTATAAACTACCACAAATAAAAACAAACACCCATTTAAAAAAAAGTTGTAGCTGACCAAATTTTCACTTGCCAACAAACTGTCTGGATTTTTTCATAGTGTGTGAGTTTGGCTTTTTCTTTCTTTCTTTTTTTTTTTAATTCTTTCTTTCTTTCTTTTTTTATAACTCTTCTTTCCCTTTTCTCTTCACAGCTTATACATAAATTCACTGCAGCATAACCTAGTAATCACTCTTCATTTACCTCTTAGGTATCTTAATGACTATAATTAAATTATTAAATATTTATTCATTAAACCTAAAAAATACTATAATTGCCATTATCATATCATTTTTTAACTGACCCATTTTATTGAATCATTAGACAATAAGTTTACAAGGGCAAAGCTAGCACTTTCCTTCATTGTTGTAGTGCTTAACATAGAACTGGACCACAGAGCGCTCATCCAATGTCTGTTCTATAAATACAGCATTGATTTTGCTGCATTGATACTTCTTACCAAGTGTACAGTAGCAGCTCATAGACTCTCAAGACCTCCAGTTTCAGAAAATTTCAAATGAGTTTCTTTTCAATTAAGTAACTGCCAAGGTAATCAAAGGAGTTTTTATTTTATTAATCAGATCATTTTGGTTTCTGTTATTGTAGTACATGATATGTTTATACGGTAATGGAAATGCAAGGAAAAAGGAGAAAGAGGGAATGCTATGGTGGAGGTGAAAGTTTTCATTCATCCAAAATCTGAATTAAAAACTAAGTTTTTCGACAAGAGAATTTGAATGCCCTATTACCTTTTATTTTCCTCTTCTTTATCTTTCTTGTTTCCAGGGGCTCACATGGTTGTGAAAGAAAGCTAAAGTGAGAGCCTAAGTGTGTTTTTGTCTTTTGTCTCTTCGCTTAGATTTAAGGAATTCTAGTTTCCATTTCACAACCATAAAATCAGACTGCAAAAGTACCGCAATTGCTGAGATGCACCAAATATGAGGAGACATCGCAAACATGTCTCAAAGCAAATTATCTTATTAAAAAAATAATGAGGTGTAAAATAGATGCCCTGTTATGACTGATCCAGAGTCTGGAAGCTCGTGGAGAAACTGTCTCTAGGACATGGCATTATCACTACAGTCATGAACTCTTAGTAGCTGTGTTCGCGTAGTAGTATTCCCAGTCAAGTCAGCATGAGCTCCCAACCCTGCCTATCTGAGGAGCTGATAGTCAAAGGCAGCTGAAGGAAAGATAGTCTGTTTTCTTTAAGGGTGTGCCCCCTAGTAGGTCAACCATATTCTAGTGCATGGCCTCAAATCCATGAGTATAAATCTGTCTAGATGGTTTATTAGCTAATTTTTTACTGCTGTGATAAAACACCAAAACTCAGGCAACTTGTATAAAAAGGTGTTTAATTAGGGTAGTTCTCCAGAGGATTAGAGTTCATGATGGTGAAGCAAAACCACGATGACAGGAACATATGAGAACTCACATCTCAAACTACAAGCAAGAGACAGAGAGTACGCTAGGGATGACAGGAGATTTTAAAAACCTGAACCTACCTTTGGTGACATTCCTCATCTGACAAGGCCATATTCTTTAATCCTTTTCTAACAGTCTCAACAATTTAAGACCAACTATTCAAATAGATGAGCCTGTGGAGGCAACTCTCATTCAAACTACGACAGCTATGAAAAACAAAATCAAATTTTATGAAGTTCAGGTGGACTAGGGTTGGATTTATGGAAGGAGTTAGGGTTGCCAGTGGTGGTTAATAACACAATATATTGTATGCACATATGAAATTCTCAGTTATACTAAAATTACATAAAACATGATATAAAAATGAAAACATGAGGGATATCCTAATCATACCTGAGGAAATTTGTATTTTTATTAATTCTCAAAAAACACTCTTTGATTAAGTAGTTACTATCATTTGCAAATTTTATCATTCATCTTTGACAATAGTCCTGAGTGGGGTATTAAGCTTCATTAGCCATTGTAAAATTAATTAATTATTCTGTATATATTAATTAATACAGGAAATTATAGCAGCAGTTATTCATAAACTAGCTATTTTCCAAATGAAAGACACAGAAACTTGTCAGATTTACAATAAGCTTTAAAGCACTAGACCTGGGCAGATATCAACTCTCTAAGCTATCCTGACTGCTTCTCAGACAAAATACGAAATAGTTTCACATGTTCACTTTGGACTGCTTCTGCTCCATCAGGCCAGTCCTCAGAGCAAGCTGCTCATGGCCATGTGCTCCTGGTTACCCCATGGTGACCTCCTGTCTCCTCTCCATCTTTGTCCACCTCCTTCTCCTCTCCTCAGGGCACGTCTGACACACCAAGCCCTGGAAGCTTCCCTCTGCCTACCTTTCTTCTGCCTAGCAACTTCCTTAACCAATCAGGAATAATTTGGCACTATTTCTTACTTCACATTGATACAGGAGATGGTTCAACATACCTAACAATGCCCAGGGCAAGGCAGTAAGCAGATCTCAGGGCACTGAAATCAGCATCTGAAAACACAGTATACAAGACCGTCCTCCAATAAGTCATTTTCTTTCTATGTTCTTTAAGTGGTTAACACTAGGTGGTTTTATCTGGTGCACTGCTGCATATCTGGACCCAGCAGCATACGCCTTTTGAAGCTGGAGTGTGAGGGCCATTGGCCCTTACTGAATAGATGCTTCTCATATTCTGACAATGCAGACATGAAACCAAATATTTTCATTGGCATGCATGTTCATAGGAAGAGTCTGACAAGTCATAGACATAATCAAATATTAATATATCACTGAAATTTAACTTTTATTCATGTAAAAAGATACAGAGATAGAGGGTTTTCAATAATATTTAAGGCTGGCTTGAGGCATTAAAATGTTTTTCACACTGCATTTATAACTAAGAGAGGATTTATTTTAATATGAGTACATTTGTTATATAAGACATAATTATGTAAAATAAAATGTCTAAATTATTTTAGAGACTAAGTTCCTTTAGCAGATGAAGATTACTACATTAAGAAAAGCAGCATGTGGACATGCTTGGTATACACACATACACACACACACACACACACACACACACACACACACACACACCACACTTTTCTCCAGTGCTCTGGTAAGGAATTGAGGAATACAGGAGTACTTGCTGTATTATTTTAAGAGAGTTTTACTAGACTTCTTTCTCCACCTGTGTCATTACACACGCAATCTATTTGCTCCCTGCCTGTGGCCAGCTCCAGTTAGCATGTGAAGATTATGAAACAAAGTCAAACCTCATAGGAATTCATCAATAATGACTGTCTTTATCTTTACTAAATGTGTGAGTTCTTTTTCTGATTCTTGGAAGTGTAGGAGGCAATAAATATAGTTTCTATATGTATTTGGATCTTTGTAGTTCAAGAATAAATATCGAGGATTGATTTGTAGTCCAAAGTGGAGCCTGTCTCCAGAAAGATGGGATGAGGGGCAATGAAGGGTCAGCCCTGGCTTGCTATCTGTCTGCCACCTATCTACCTACCTGTTTGTATTTTAATGACAGCTAAAGAGGACAGCCAGCACTGAGCAGCACTGCCCTTCACATTTACGACCTTCCTGAATCACTGAGACTGTGGTTCCAAATACTCCATCACCTCCTTTTTAACCCGACTTTAATTGGTCAACCCCAGCTGAAGACAAACACCTCCATCCATGACCAGAGAGCAGATTCAAAGGACAGAGAAGGTTGCCCACATTGAGCTCCCTGCTGGCGCCTTCTGTCTGGACTGCCTGTGCCAAATAGCGCCCATGGAAACAATCAGTAATAGGGAACTCCACAGATGTGGCTGCTGCATGTACAGAACCTCAGTTTGAGCGAAAAGGAGAGTGGAAGAGAGTGACAAGCTGACAGTCCGCAACTGGGAGCTGCAGCAATGGAACCAGCGACTGCGTGTGAGAGCACAGGTGCTGTAGGCCTGGAGCGAAGAGCTGTGTCTCTGCAGCCTCCCGGCTCAGCACAAGAGGCAGCTTGCTGAAACTGCATCCGCAGCGGAGCGTGGGTACTCCCAGACGCCGCCACCAAAGGAAGAGCCAAAGGAAAGGGCGCGAAGGGGAAGCATGGAGTAGCAGGGGATTGGGGCAAGATCCACAGCCTCATCTCAGAGCTCCTTTGGTGGGAACCTGCACAGGCTGCTATGCTCCTCCCTTCTCTTCCCAACTCTCGGTGATCATCTCCATCTCCCCTCGCACGTCCCTTCCCCCTCCCCGCTTTCTTTGCTCTCCCTCCCTGCCGCGTGCCTGCTCCCCTCCCCCTCGACTGACTGCTCTGGGCAGCAGCAACCTCGGCAGCCCCGGAGATGGGCAGAGAGCGCGCGGGGCGCTGCAGCTCTGGAGCCACCGCTCTCCCCGCCCCCGGTTCCCTGAGCCCCCGCCGCCGCTCTCGCCTCCCGGCTTTCCCCCGACTCCAGCTCTGCTTTTAGGACAGCGCCGCCACCGCCTCCAGCTTTCGTCCCGCCCGCGACGCGCTGCCCTCACGCGCCCTGGATGGCGCTTTCCCTTGCTGGGATCGGTGAGTACCGGAGAGTCCAGGGGGTCAGGCTCAGGGCTGAGCGCCCAGAGAACATTCTTAGACTAGAGAGGCATCCTGACCACCTGCTGGTTGTCCTACCTGGCACGGGGTCTCTGGCAGGTCCCCGGGGACGTTTGATTTCAACTCCGCCAGCCAGGAACCTGAACCCTTTCTCTTCCAGAGAGAGCTGCTGTAGCGCTTATTTCCTTGCCACCCTCCTGCCCTCTGGCTGCTACCCTCACTCCCATGGCAGATAGCCCCCGCCTGGCGTCACTTCAAACAGGGTCATTGCAGACCTCATTGTCCCCACGTCTTTCTGAATCCCACCTTCTGCCGCGCGCCCAGGTTTCTCCACAAAGTCCTACCCTGAGCCATCTCCCCTTAAAGCTTGACCACAGAGCCCCGGTCCAGCCATCTCGTTCCTTCTCAGAGTGAATAGTCTTAGTGAATTCTGACCTCATTCCCTCCATATGATGCTGCCTCCCAGATTTTCTGACACTCACCTCAAGACTGACACCGCCACGAGGCGATCCTGCCTTCTGTGTATTGTGTCTCTGCACCTGGACTGGACTGTTAGGTGATGATCAAGCATGAGAAGAGAAAGATAAAAATAGCAGATCTTTTGGGACTAAACTTTTCGTCATTGTTTCAAAGTGCACAACTATTTATGTTGCTTAGATTCCTTCTTGTCTGCGGGCTTGTTGGCTGAGCACGGGGGAGGCCCCTTATTTTACCTGTTTTTCCCAGATTCTCTCTTCCTTTCAGGTCTTAGAGCAGAGCACCTACATAGCTCAGTTGCGATTCTCCCTCAGCTATGCCACCCAAAACTCAGCAACTTTGAAAATAAGCAGCTTTTCCTTGAAAGAGGACAAGGTGGCACCAGAAATGCCACTTGGAATGTTTTTTTTTTTTTTTTTTTTTAATTCCCATAAGCCAAAGACCTTAGTATTTCTCTTTTTGTTTAGGGCCTGAGAGGGGAACCACGCGCCTCAGGTGCAGTGTAGTTAGTCTCTTGCCATCTCTAGGGTATTTAATTCCCATAAGCCAAAGACCTTAGTATTTCTCTTCTTGTTTAGAGCCTGAGAGGGGAACCACGCGCCTCAGGTGCAGTGTAGTTAGTCTTTTGCCATCTCTAGGGTATTTCTGTATGAGCTTCCCGAAAGCAGCAGCCTTTCCTTCTGAAATCAGGCTTATCATTTGTTTGTGGTTAGCTTGAGCGAAAACAGCTGTTGTGTTCAATGAATGAATCTGAGAAAGAGAGTTGAGATTACCCGTGAACAGGAAAGGAGGGAATTAAAACATTGTATTTTTTATTCAAGATTCTTCTATTCTTATGTCATAAAATAAGGTCCCACACTACTTAATAATTTACATTTAAACAACTTGTAAAATATTAATTTTGAGGTGGAGTTTGACCACACAGGGTTAATGTTTGAAGAAGACAGTTAGGGGTATTCAAAGAAATCTAAGAAACTTTGAAATGTACCCTGCCTAATGATGGACTGTGTGAATAAGTTTTTTGGTATTACTATGAGCAACGTAAGGAGAATAAGACTTGAACTGCCTTCCTCTCCTTTGAAGTTGGTGCAGAGGATGTGTTCAGTCCTCTTCTTGAAGAAATTTTCGATATACATAAAACTGGAAGGGAAAGTTGATCAAATATACGAAGAGTTGACTTTGTTTAACAAAGATTGCCTTAAAAAAAATCCACCTTTCCATTATCAGGCATTTTACTTAATTTTGCTTTCTCTGTAGTCCTTTTCTCCTGTGCTGTGGGTATAAACAAAGTGACCAGAAGTGGTTTTCAGTAATTGTGTTCAGCTGCATCAAAAATCACAGGGGCCAGAGATACTAACTTTTCTAAATATGGAAATGTGCCTAATTACACTTACAGTTATACTAAGAATACTCAAAACTGTGTATTTAAGTTTGCAATTGCTACAGATAGTCACATATGGCATGCTTTGTGAGCAATAGGACATAGAAGGTGAATCAAAGGATCTTTAAATTTTCCCCCTGGAGGTATTTACCTTTTGTGTAGTAACAGGGTAAATGGTCTATATAGCACATTCAGCAATAAGGTGTCTTCACAAAAAGACACATCACCACTGAACAAAGTAAAGCAAGTGGCAATGGCAACCATTCTGGTGTGGTAAGCATAAGTTCAAATCAATGTATTCTAACACAATTCTAATTATGTCACAATATTAAAATTGTCTCAGAATTATCTCTGAGCATGCAAATTAATTTGTCATAAAGCATGGTAGAGATTTCTGTTATGAATTCTTATATGGAAGCCAAGATCCTACTGAATTTAAAGTTCCTGTAATTAGTTAGTACTACACAAAATAACCAAACATAACAGATGAGGAAGGCACACCAATATAGATCATTGTTGAGTGTATGATGCTCTTAATTATCTGCCACCAAGAGGACAGATATAAAGTAAGTATTTGCTGGCAAAAGAGATTAACAATCATGTAAATGACATAAGAATTTCATCAACAAGTTGTCATTAGTCCCATGCTCCATATAAGTTGATTTTACTGAGAGTACAAGGTAAAAAGAGAAAAAGACTGAGGAAAATGATGCAATGAGGGGAAATAGAGAGAACCTGTGAATAGTGGCTTGAAACCTTTACTCAAGTGAGGATAACTGAACACAATTCCTATTATGATGGTATTTTAGGTAACAGCTATTTTCCAACTTGGCTTTTTTTTAAAGCATCCTTAATTTCAGGAATAAAAATGTAACATTTTTCTTTTTTATGAGGTTATTTAGTTTCTTTCACTAGAAGGTCAAAGACAAACTCGTCTAATCTATTTAACTGAACTAAATTCTATACAAATTTACAACCAAACCTTTGGAAAATGAATCTATAAACTAATACCTAAATTTATAATGTTGGACAAAGCTAAATATCACATGCTTATTTACATTGGTGAATGCCTTACCCATTTTTATATACCTTTACATTTGACTTAATTCAGAAGAGTCTAGGTATTAAAACACACAAATTTTATGAGTTCAAAACACACTTAATAAAATGGAGAGCAAGCAGCTGTATAAGTATTCTCTGCGGTTTTTCTTTCTAGCCTCGGTGTATAAAAGAATAAATGACAAGACTTCCTAGAGAACAAAAGATAGATAGTTTCAACACTAGCATCATGATTTGGCCAGTTTCACAGTTTTTGAAGTAGTGTGATTTTGATTCCTATGTAAGTAAGGATTTTGCTGGCTCTCATGGTCTATGCCTGTAATTCCAGTGTTTGGAAGGCTGAGGCAGGATGATCACGAGTTCAAGGTTAGCATGGGTTACTTAGGGAGTGGCTCACTCAAAACAACAAAACAAAGGCACAGAATGAAAGACATTTAAATTTTGTGGTGTGACTTGTGGCTGTTGCAAATAGACCCCTGCTCATTTAATTGCAAATGGAATGACTCATAGAATTTGATATTGATTAGAGAATTTGAAGGACATTCCATATCCATTATTTCACTAATGATTTACCAAAGTATCTTAAGCAATTAATAGATTCAGAATTAGAATCTAGGTTTCCTCTATCTGTGCTGTGTCTTTCAATGGCGTGTTTCTGAGAAAGGTAATAACAGGATAATTCAGTTTCAGTGTCAAAGAAATGAGAAAAGGTGTGTACTGAGTCAGGGTCATCTCAGTGCTTAATCCTTAATAACCAGTCTTCCTGACACTTGCTTGTTAAAGCTTATGAAACATGTTAAAATCATAGATTAGCTAAAATATTTCATATTCTATTATTAAATTATCACTTATGTACTTATAAGGTGTAAGGTTCTTTTATAATAATAGTATACCACAGATATTTTCCATTTTAACATTTATAAACAGTGGATTGAAAGACATTCCCCAAAGCAGATGCTGGCTTCTTTAAGCTAGGAGCAGAAATGAATGTGGAGCTTCATTTGTGTATTTACTTAATCCTTATTTCAACACAAAGTTCAAATATCAGTGTGCTTATTTTTCACTTTGAAGTTTGTCCCCCACAGACTGAATAGTAGTCTGGGAAGAAAAATCTGTGTCATAAAGTTCAAGACCACATATAAAAATCCTGGCACTTGTACATTTCTCTTCACTGACATGGGGCAGTGGGAATGTCAATGAATATATCAATGAGGAGCCATCATTATTACTGACTAAATAATAAACGGCCAGATGCATTCTTGGACATGGTGACTCATCACTATCATCTTCCAAAGGAAGATTAATTAATATATGTAGATTCCTGAGTCTTATCACGTGGACATTGCATTATTTAAATGTGGCTGGATTGGAGGGAGGTAGTTAAGAGAACCAGCAGAGCTGGGTGCCTTGGTGGCATTCTCAACAGGTGAAGAACCGTGTCTTAAGGGTTCCTTGGTAAAAGAATTGGACTTTAAGTTATTTAAGATGCATATTTTTCTAATACGAGAGAATTGCATTTCTAAGGTTTCCATGACCTAATTTCTTTGCTGTGCAATGCAACCTTCATTAACTGAGATCTTACTATACTGTGTGGTCTAATAGAATGCATGCAGACACATGAAAGAATATGATGTAGGCTCTGACTTTAAACATATTACAGTTTAACTGGATACACACCTTATAAATGAAAAGAATTGATGAAGTACAGGCAGCCCTTAATGTAGGGCAGCCCTAACTTCCCGAACAGATGATCCAAGAAAAAAATAAAAAGAACAGAACTTAGGCTAATCTCCATTATTTTAAATTGAAGGAGATATTTCATTATTAAGGCTTGATATGAAATTAATGTAGTTCTTTAAAGCATATGATTTTATAGTTTTTTATATTTAAATATAATGCACAACAAATTACTGACAATACAGAAATAATTGTACATTATTATAAACAAATTTATCTGTATATTTATAATTCCTACAAATAAACACATACATTAAGTGATTAGGTTATAAGGTAAATTTCTAAGAAAAAGGCAATTAATTTGTATAACTTCAATAAGTATACA